TTGCTCAATTCTGGGAATTTTACTAAACCTTTCTAATAATTTGGCACGCTCAAATCACCGTGCTGATAACAAATATGGCGCCAGTTTGTTTACATTTATATTCAGTACGAAAATTTCAGTGATTGCGCAGATCAATGTTGCATTTTTTGTGAAAATTTTGTGAATTGATTGGACGGTTTTTATTAAATATTAGAAAAAAAGTTATCTCGATAATAATTTGGCACAGTGTATATATATATATATATATATATATATATATATATATATATATATATAAATATATATAACTTAATTCATTTTCATTTTATAAAAAAATATTTCTAAATGCTTACATATCTGCCATTCATTGAATGGATTTTATTTTTAATTTTGATAATTTTTTCTTAAAATTGTTCCAAAGGATTTAATATAGAATATAAAATATTAAATACTGTTTATCATAAATCTATGTATGCTTAAATTGGCATATTTTATAAATATATAACGTTTTTAATAAAATGTAAAATAAAATTGTACTTTGTCCATTTTTAATAAAATATATATATATATATATATATATATATATATATATATATATAAATTTTTTAAAAAAGAAAAAAATGTTAATATATTGTAAATACTTGTAATTGTATATATATTGTATCATATTGATTATGCTAGAATCATATTGATTTTATTCTAATATTAATGGCAATAAAAAGTTAAATTGAAATCTACAATTAGAAGAGATTCTTTTTAAATGGTGTCATATATTTATATTTATTATTAATGCAGCTATTTCTTTAAACGTTGCAAATATCTCACAGTGTCCATATGGATTGTAAAAAATTTTTTCCCGTATAGAATCAAAATGTAATGCCATCTGATGAAAAAAATATCGCATTTTGATAAAACAATGCAAGACAAGATTTTTCTTTCCTAAAGTATGCGTATATCTTTGAGAACTCACTTAGGATAATTTTACGTCAGATAAAACGCAACAATTGATTATTATTTTCTATGTATTTACGGATTATCTACATTTTCTGCGTTACTAAAAGCCGAAAGATATTCATGTGGATTATAAGAATACATCTTTTCTATAAAAAAATTCTTTGGAGATAATAAATAAATAAAATATAGGTATTACTATTTAAACCATAGCTTGGAGGAAATTATTCAGTACATTCCTTCCCAATAGTATTTCCATCTAGGTGAATGGTTACTTATATATTTGACACCGGTGACTGGTCTAAACATATGCTAACCTTTCTCTTAAATAAAGATTGTTTTGCAAAACGTCTGCTGCACTTGCGAGTAAAAGTAGAACATTATGGGACGCCAATTTCAGAGAATATACTTTTGTTTAATCAGGAAAAAAGGTACTATATATACAATAGTACGAATAAAAACGAAAAAGAAAAAATTTATTCAATACAAACAATGTTTTACATCATAAAATATTGAATAGAAAATAAGACGAAAAATAGAAATAAATAATTTCTTTTTATAAATCAAAAAAAATGTAAATTTGAACTTACGTCTTTTTATTGGTGTTTTATATATTTCATATCTAAGATCATTTCATCAATAAAAAATTATCATCAATTTTTAAAAATGCAGAAGAAGAAGAAACATTTTTTCTTCTTTTTGAAAATTCTTCATCATCCGCCTCAATTCCTAAATTCATCAATGAATAAAATCTAAAACATTTTTAAAATTCCCTTTCTTCATCATGTACTTAATAAGTTTTTATTTTCTTTTCAAGATCATCTTCAAAGAAAAATCACCAAATGGTTCTTCTTATTAAAATAAATGTCACGAATTTGACGTTTCCTATTATCTTGTTCTTCTTTAATTTTCTCCTAAAATGCTTTTCTTTATTCTTTTCTTCTTCTTCTTTTTTAATTTCTTCTTCCACTTTAAATTACATAACATTTAAAGTAAATTATATTTTTTTCTTGAATATATCTTCTATAATCCAAAAATTATTTTTTAAAGTATTCTTTAAATCACGTGATTAAATTCTATTTTCTTTTTTTACCTTCTTCGTCTTCATCTTTTTTTTTTCTTCTCCTTCCATTTTATTTGTCATGATATATAAAATTTCCAGTTGTCATCAAAATTTCCTTTTCAGGAAAATTTCTTATTATTATTATTATTATTTTCTTTTGATTTCTGGCGTTTACATTTTCTTTCCGGGTCCCGCCCAGGGACCTAAGGTTAGAAATGGCATCATGACACTTTCCACTGACAAAAAAAAAAAAAAAAAAAAAATTTATAAAGCCCTTTCGTAAAGGTGTGGGCTGTACTTGTCAGAACAATTTTTTTATCTCCTTGAGGCATGGACTTCCAGGAATCCCTTCAATTAGTCTACTGCAATCTTTTCCAACCAGTCCTAGGGCTCCAACTACAACAGGGATTTTGATGTTCCCATATGCCACATTTTCGAGATTTCTATTTCAAAGGTCCTTTGATTTTTTCAACTTTTGAATATCTTCAAAGATACATTGCAGTCAGCAGGGACTGCCATATCAATATTATTGCAAATTTTTGTTATTTAAACATATTTAATATTATTATTATAAAAATTCCTTATTTTAATCCTCATTTTTTTTCATTCATCATCATCAATTTTATTTATCATTTCCAAAATTTTTTATTATCATCATATATATTCTCCTCAAAATCATCTTTCTTCTTTTCTTTTCTAATCATAAAATTGTTGTTCTTTTTATCATTTTTTCCTTTTTAAAAGAATGTTATTCTTCTTTTTTTCTTCGTCATATTTTAATAATTTTTTTTTTTTCCAAATTTCACATTTTAAATTAATTTTTCTTCTTTTTTCTTCTTCTTCTTTTTTCTTCTTTTTTTTTCTTCTTTTTTTTTTTTTTTTTTTAAAAATTTTTTTTTTTTTTCTTCTTTTTTCTTAACCAAAAAATTAACCTTTCTTGCTTTTTCTCCATAAAAAAAGTCCTTTTCTTCATTAAAGTATTTTTTTAACGTTTAAAATTTTCTTCTTCTCTTCATTTTGTTTTCCATTCTTCTTTCATTTTGTTACCTTTTCTTGCATTCTTTAACATTCTGATTCTTTCCTACCTTTGGGCAAGAAATTGACCACCTAATAATATATTTAACTGAACATATGTAAATAATATTTTTTATGTTCTTTCAATTATTTTTAAAAAGACCCATTTATAACCGTGTCTTCCACTCCCTTTTTTTATTTTTATTCCATTTTTTTCAGCAATTTGGATGATTCGGTATTGTTTTTTACCTTTCATTCAATCTTTTTGTGAGTGTCATATACTCCACGCCCTCTTTCCTCCTTATTTATGTTTATATATATAAACATTATCTTTCTAAAATGTAAATATGTTTAATTTTTTTTCGTTTATTTTCTCTAAAAAATATCATTTTCCGCAAAAAATAAGCTTTCTTTTTTTTTTTTTTTAAACCGTGCGTTGGATATTGCTATAACATCAGGTAAAATATTCAAATTCATTTCTTTAGATTTTGATTATTCATTAAATTTTAAATGGAATATGCAATATTAACTGTTCTGACCTGAAATGGCGGCTTTCCCCTTTTTCGTTCTATATATATATATAATTATATAAATTTCTCATAAGGTAATTGTTCTTATCTGGTTTTCCTTTGTACATTTTATAAATATTTATTCCAGTAATTAGATTTTCATTGTCTCATGATAAAACAATTGGATGGCTAGAAATATTAAATTAAGATTTATCCTATTTAAAATTCTTTGAAATTCTCAATTTTGCAACTTATCCAAAATAAACAAGCAAGTCAAAAAAGATCTAATTTTTACTTTTTTTTTTTTTTCTATTTTTCATATTTAATGTCTAAATATTTTAAGTTTTTCTTTCAATTTATTGCATTAAAACGGGTGATATATGAATAACATAAAAAAAAAATAATATGGTGTTCAAATTTTAATATTATTTATTTCCAAAATAATATAGCTGTTTGAAAAATAAGAAATAATTTTCTGATCTAATCTCCTTTGTTCATTTTTATGTCGATATTCATTTTTTAAGAAAATATAAAAAATATTCAAATACCACCTCATTGTTGATGAAAGACAAATAAAGAAAGAAAAACAATTACAAATTTATTAAAATATATATTTTAAAAGTTAACTTTGCTTTAAAATTATTAACCTGGACTTTAAAAGGATCGTCGGAGATATGAAGTAAAATGTTTCTGAACGAAATTGGGGTAATATAATCAAACAGAAAACTGAATGCTAGAAAATATATTTTTTATTTTGGAAATAACAAAAAAAAAAATAAAAGTCTTTGAAACAATTAATCAGAGCAGATTTTTATGCTATTTTTTCAATTGAAAATAAAAACCCCGAGAAAAATCCAAATTTTTCCAAAAAAATACAGCAAAAAGAAATAAAAAATTAAAGAAAAGAAATACAATGAAATTTCAAATGGAAAATTTTTTATTTTTATATATATTTTATAAAAATTATTTGAAAATTGAAAAAAGAAATTAAAGAAATAAAAATTACGCATTTCAAATATTCTTGCAGAGAAAAAAATATTTTTTTTTTTGTTGATTTTAAATAACAAATAATAAGACAAAAATACGTGCAAAAATGAATATAAAAAAAAAACAAGAAAATTTTTTCAGAAAATATGAAAGAAATAATGAAAATATTTTGACTTTTAAAAAAAAGATTAAGAAATGAAAGCAAAGTAAAAAAAAAATGAAAAAAATTCACATGAAATATATCAAAAAATTTGTGTTCGAAGAAAGAAAAAGGTGATAATTAAAATAAAAAATAAATTTACTCAAAGAAAGATATAAGGAAAGAATGAGAAATAAATAATAATTTTATATATATAAATTGCTATGATTTAATAATTTTTAATAGAAATAAATAAATAAATAAAGAAAGAAAGAAAGAAAGAAAGAAAAAGAAAGGAAAAAAGAGTTGGGATAATATAAAAAAAATTAAATATCGCATCCAGAAAGGAAAAAAAGAATTAAGGAAAGAAAATGTAAGGAAGATTAGAATAAAAGAAAGAAAGAAAGAATGAGTGAATGAATGAATGAAAAAAGAAAGAATAGAAGGAAATAAAGAAGAAAAGAAAATTAAAGAAGTAAAAAAGAATGAAAAAAGGAATAACGATAGAAAGTAACGTCAAATAAATATGATGTAATATGGAAAGAATGAATGAATGAAATAATAAGAATATTTGTAAGAAAAATTTAAAGAGAAACCCCAGGATAATAATGAACTGATATATTGTTAACGAACTCATAAAAAAAGTTTCCTTAAAACAAATTAAGAAAGCAGACCGTTTACAAAAAAATTTTCCGTAGTAATATATAAAAAATTTCACTTGAAACAATTTTTTTCAAGAAAATAGATTTATAACAAAATTACCAGTATTGAAATAAAAAAAATAAATAACGAAATAAAAAATAAAATGAAAAAAAATTATATATATATATATATATATATATATATATATATGAATGTTTAAAAGTATGTATGTATGTAAAAAAAAAAAAGTAAAATAAATAAAGAAAGAAGCAAGATCAGAAGAAAATAAGGAAAAAAAAAAAGTGGCAAGAAATGAAGAAAAAAAATAAATAAAGAAAATATATAAATAAATTTATAAATAAATAATAATTAAAAATAATTAAAAAAAAAAAAAAATAGACTCAAAGACGTAATGAAGGAAATAAAAAAAAAAAGAAAGGAAGGATTTGTAAAGAAGGAGGAAAAAAAAAGGAATATATAAATAAATCATTAAAAAAAAAATGATACTGCTAAACTAAAACTACTAATACTACTACTAAAAAAAGGAAATAATAAAATATATATATATATATATATATATATATATATATATATATAGTAAGAATTAAGAAGGAAAGAAAAAAGAAAAAATAAAAAGAAAAAAAATAAAGAAAAATCAAGGACATAATGAAGGAAATAAAGAAAGGAAGGAAGAGAAAAGAAGGAAGGAAAAAAAGAAAAGGAAGGAAGGAAGAAAAAAAGGAAGGAAAAAAAGAAAAAAAAGAAAAAAAGGAAGAAAGAAAGAAGGAAGGAAGGAAGAAGGAAGGAAAAAAAAATGAAAAAACGAAGGAAAAAAAAGGAAGAAGAAAAGGAAAAAGAAGGAAAGAAGGAAAAGAAGAAAAAAGGAAGGAAGAAAGGAAAAAAAAAAAAAGAAAAAAGAAGGAAGGAAAGAAAGAAGGAAAGAAGAAGAAAAAGAAGAAAGGAAAAAAAGAAGGAAAAGAAAAGAAGGAAGGAAATTTTCGATTGAAAGAAAGAAGGAAGAAAGGAAAAAGAAAAAAAGGAAGGAAGAAAGAATGAAAAAATAAAGAAAGGAAGAAAGAAAAAAAGGAAGAAAGGAAGAAAAAGAAAGAAAGAAAAAAAGGAAGAGAAAAAAGGAAGGAAGAAAGAAGAAAAGAAAAAAAAGGAAACCTCAAGGAAGAAAAAAAGAAGAAAAAAGAAAGAAGAAAGGAAAGAAGGAAAGAAAGAGGAAGGAAGGAAGGAAGGAAGGAAGGAAAAGGAAAGAAGAAAGGAAGAAAGAAGAAGGAAGGAAGAAAGAAAGGAAGAAAAGGAAAGGAAAGAAGGAAGGAAAAGGAAGGAAGGAAGGAAGAAGAAAAAGGAAGAGGAAGGAAGGAAGAAAAGGAAGAGAAAAGGAAGAGAAAAGGAAGGAAGGAGGGAAGGAAAGGAAAGAAGGAAGGAAAGAAGGAAGGAAGGAAGGAAAAAAGAAGGAAGGAAGGAAAAGAAAGAAAAGTATATAAGAAGGAGGAGGAAGACAGAAGAGAAACAAAAACGAAAAAAATATAGGAATAAATTTGTAAATAAATAATATTTAAACAAATAAATACGAAAAGAAAGAAAGAAGCAACGGCAGAAAGAAGTAAGGAAGAAAGGAAAGAATGAATGAAGGAAGGAAGGAAGGAAGGAAAAAAGATCATGGGATAAAAAAGAAAGAAAGGATGAAATAAATAAATAAATAAATAAAAAAAAGAAAGAAAGAAAGAAAGAAAGAAAGTAAGAAAGAAAATATGAGTACTGACAAATGAAAAATACGGTACCGTCACGCAGGCATATAAACAAATCTGAGGCACAAACACTAAAAAAAAGACAGAAATATTGAAAGATTGAAGTCAAAGCCAGAATGAATAAAAAAGAAAAAAATGCAACAAATTAAAAATAAATGAAAAGAAGATGGAAAAAAAAACAGAATATGACACAAAATTTTATGTACATCTAAAAATAACATTAAATAAATATATTCGCCACACCCAATAAAGATCTAGAAAAAAAGAAATATAATTAATTCTTAAGATTAATATGTATGTTATGAGTAAGGACAAAGCAAATACAATGAGAGTAACAGCAAAAGAAAAGTGCTAAAAAGAACGATACATTTAGAAAAGAAGGCAAATATAAATTGAATTTGAAAGAAAGGAGGAAAGTGGGGAGATTTTAAATAAAATGTTAGAGAAGGCAAGAAGTAAAGAAAAAAAGACCAATGCACAGATATAGTGGAGATGTCGCCAACAAAAGAAACGATTTAAAATAAGAAAGAAAGAAAAAAAAACATGAGAAAAAGAAAGAAATAAAATACAGGAGAAAAAAAAAGTCCCCCTCCATCAAACGGAAGAACGGAAAAGAAAAATTAAGAATTGAAAAGAAAGGATGCAAAAGAACAATATTAAAAGAAAGAAAAGAAACAAAGAATTAGACAAAACCAGAGAGAAAACAAATACGAAAGAAAAAGAAAGAAAGAAAGCAAAGGAAAGGAAATGAAGAAAGCAAAGGAAAGAATAAGAGGAAAGGAATGATTAAAGTGAAAGAAAGAAAAGAAAAACAAAACGAAATGTAGAATAGAAAAGAAAGTGAAAAAAGAAAGCAAGAAACTAAAAGGGGAAGAACAAAAGAAGACAAACGAAAAAACAAAATGAATAACTGAAGAAAGAAAAAAGAAAGAAGTTAACAAAGGAAATGAAAGAAAGAAAGCAACAGAATCAAAATAATAATAACGATAAAACGAAATAAGGCAAAGAAAAGAACGAGTAAAGGAAAGATGCAAAAAGAATGAAAACGAAACTAAACAAGGGAAAGATAAAATGAGGAAAGCAAATAAAAGAATAAAATGAAAAATATGAAAAGAAATAACGAAAAAATAACGAAGAAAAAAAACGTGAAAGGTAAAACATCTTACTGTCTCCCTTAAGAAAGAAAGTCAATAAGATAGAATGAAAGAAACAAATAAAGAAAGGAAGAAGAAAGAAAAATAACGAATGCAGTAAAAGAAAGAAGCAAAAAAAAAAAAAAGAAAATATGAGAGAGAAATATTTAGAGAGGAAGACATAGTAAAAGATGAGTAGAAAGAAAATGAATAATGGACGATAATTGTAAGAACAGCGGACAATGAACAGGAAAAATTATTACAATGAGGAAATATTGAAAGAATGAATAAAGACCAAAAACTTAAAGAACGGAAAACGGCAAGACGAACAGAAAAGAAGAAAAACCTCCGGCTAAATCCTGAAAATAATGAGAAACGAAAGAAACAGGGGAGAGAGAGAGAGAAGAAAATATTGATTAAAGAAAAGAAATAAATAATTCTTAAAAATGCGAAAACAAAAAGCATTGGGGGGGGGCACACGTGAAACGCAATAAAGAAGAAAAGTTAGAACGCGGGTAAACTAGAAAAGGAATATATGAAAGAATAAAGAAAGGAATGGAGACAATTTTAAACAAGAGTAAAAATAGGAAATATAGAATACAGCGTCTTTAAAATGCAAAAAAAAAAAAAGGAGACAACACAAGCGTAAAGCTGCGAAAGCTTAATGTAATGCAGTAAGATATACACTGAAAAACGCGCCTACACATACGCACATACGCACACGCAGCAATAAAATAATACGAAGCAAGTCGAGAAAAACCAAAACAAAATAAATCCAAAATCGTGAATAACGCATAAGTTGAAAGCGTTCGGTAGAGAACGGAAATAAACCTAAACTATAACCAGAATAAAATTAGAAAATCTTCAACAACAATAATGATAATAATCATCAAGAATAAAACTGATAAAAGAAATAACAATCGCGCAGTTGGGGAAAAAGAAATAAGATTTTGCGACTTAAATCTGGTCGAAAATAAAACAAAGCAACGCATTAATGTAGACGCTCATGCCCTTTAACGACGAAAGTGAAAGTAGTCGAGAAAGTGAAAGTAGACGAGAAAGTGAAAGTAGACGAGAAAGTGAAAGTAGACGAAAACGTGAAAGTGCTTTGGAAAGTGAAAATTGGTGCGCGGGAGTAACGCACTTTGAAGGATTGAGAAGAAGAAAAGAGATCATCTTATTAGAAAAAGTGGCGGGAACAGCGTTAGACGACTGGGAAAAAGACGTCACAAAATTTGGAAGAGATCGAAAAGCGCTTAGAAGGAAGAAGACAATATAATATTTAAAAGAAATTAAAGTAGAAGGGAAAACGACGCGAAGGCATCGCAAACAAATTTGTGACGATGGGGTAGAAAAGTCGAAACAAGTGTAGAAGCAGCAATGCATTTATTCATTGAGCTTTTGGTAAATTGCTGAATCCATGGAGCGAAGGCGAACCAGAGAGATTGACTAACACACAAGGCTTTAGTGAGAAGTCGTGAGAATTCCGAAATAGAATGTTTAGCTGAGGTACAAACAAGAGAAAAAATAGAACATGTTTAAAACAAATATTTTGTGCATTACAGCGTATAACGAGCAATGGAGGCTTAAAAGAAACGAGAAAAGCTATATTTCCAAAGTGAAGAATAGAGAACGCAAGGAAATTTAATGCAAATTTTAAATAGAAAATGAAAGTGAAAGTAGCATTCTATCCTTCTCATAGAGTTTTATTCGAACAAGCATACTAATCTCCCAAATAACTCACCGTATAAAAAACAACAAAGATGAGTATGCTGCTAAAAATATTTTCGAATAATGCTATCACTTTTCAGTATCTGGAAAAAAATATCAGTTCACTTTGGAGTTTCATTTAAATTATGCAAACAATAATTATGTTTGAGCATTACTGTGTGCGGAAAACAAGTACCGACACGACGACAATATCTTTAATTTTCCCCACACCACCCCGTCACAGGGCTTATATGATACGAATTACTTACTATTTTACAGATGTTTTTTTAACCGCTGCATGGGTAATTCCGTCCCTTTTTGTTAAACGTATTGACTTCGCGAAAGAAACATTCTAAAAGCTAAAGAAATTTCTGAGAAACGGGTAGAATTAGTTGGCAACAAAGAAAGGTGTTCTGGATTCTTATGTAATATCCAACAGCTTACATGGCAGTGAATGTTGGACAATCCCAACACGGATGAAGAAAAATGAGAAGCTGCAGAAATATGGTTCAACACACGAACAAAAATCCATCGGAGCAAGTAAACAACAAAGAAGAAAATAGTAACAGAAAGAACACATAGTCAAGATGAGAGAAAAAAAGCACTAGAAATTCCTGAAACACATAATGAGGATGGAAGGCTTTGTTAATTTAACCCTCACGGAGCATATTACTACAGAGAGAGGGGACGTTAGTGAGTCACTTATTTGACGTACATGTGTGAATGAATTTTGGGACAGGGAATGAAAGCATTAGCAAAGGCAGAGAAACTGCTAAAGGCCGCATGAAATAGGAAGTTGTGGGGAGCTATTATCACATATGTCTTCAAGGGACGCACCATATCGAAGAAGGTTTATTAAGCTGATATAAAACAAAAACAAACAAAACGAACGTTTATTTTAACTGTCACACTTATATAATTTGAAAAATTCTCACCTGCTTGTCTCTTCTGTAGGAAATTATATTTGCTACCAAGAATATTTGCGCTCATCTCCTAACGCTTTTTAACCCTAAATTATCCACTTAAAACTGACGCAGAACAATCTTCCATGTAGAGAGCAGACTGATTGCTTCATGCGCTTTTTTTGTTCTGCTTAAATGAGCAAAATCTATTGATGTTTTCACCAGTTGGAGATGTTTTTTAAGGCAATACAAAAGTGAATGTTACTCTGCTTAAATAACTTCCTCTGATTGTGACTTACCTATGAATGTCATGCACGGAGCCAAACCTGTTCAAGATTTCAAAACTGCAGCTGTATGCAACCGCTTTCTCAGACCAATGGTTAAAAAAAGCTTCAAGTGAATGACGCTTCTAGTAATTTCATTTGTAAACCCCAGGATTGGCGCTACCAAATCCCTAAGGACTGTACCAAATAGCAGAAACACTTGAAGAATTTCAACAACAGCAAAATTTGAGTTGGATATTACATTTAACCCGAGGGAATAATAATTAAATTATGTAGTTGTTATCGCAGCACATGACTTAAGGCCCGTACTGGAAAGAGCGATAACAGCTAGTGGACTTTAGAAAACTATTTTCCATAAAAGCTCTTTTAAAAGAATTATTTGATAAATTTTACCCGATTACTGGTTGACTGGATGCATAATATTTAGGCTTACGTCTAAATCACGTTAAATACCTGTTTCGGTACGATCACCGAAGTTAAGCAACGTCGGACCTGGTCAGTACCTAGAAGGATTACCGCTTTGGATGCGATGGAATTTTTAATCGGAGAGCCGTGTTCCTATTCCAGTTGGATTCGTTATATTCCATTAGTCGCAATTACCCTTGCGGAAGATATGAATCCATCCCTTCTCCTCCCAGCTATGGGTTAATTAGTAAGACTTGTATCAATGAATCATTATCATCTAAAAAAGAATTTATTTTCCGACTATAAATAACCTGTGAAGGGTTGATCTTAATGTATCATCTAAAATTAAAAAAAAATATTCTCCGACTATAAATAACCTGTGAAGGGTTGATATAAATGTGACTATTAAACTACTTTTTGCGCATCTTATTTAAAAGACCCTCTCCTATATACTTTAGCCCACTAGCTTACGATCTTTCGACTGTTGACCTTATAATTTCATCCCATTATTCAAATAAGAAAACTGTTTGAAAATAATGGCAGCGTGCAAAATGTCAGCTAATTTGGTTCAGTCTAATATTTCTGTAACAGTTTGGCTTTCTAAGCCACCATCAGGCTCTGATTTACCCACGCTACTTGATGTTCTGTAACAGCATTTACTATGAAAGAAACAGCAGCAAACTCAGGACAAAACTCAGGATAATATTCAAGAAGTTACAAGCCTCGATATCGAGACATGGTCAATTGATAGAAACAAACTTTCGAATTCCAAACAGGGGAGATTGTCTGAAAATAAAGTTTACGTTGTGGTAGCAAGCATCTACCGAATGAAGAAAGAACAAAAAAAAAAAAACCTCGACTAAGACTATTCTATAATTGCCGTGATAAACTTTTCAAAATATCAGATTTTCAGTGCCAATTCTAGACTTGTACCTTGGTGATTTGATTTATTTTTGTTTAGCGGGATATCAACCCGTATAAGTTATTTATGGTCGAAATCTAAATATGAAAATTCAAACTTTATAATTAATTCAAGAGAACGACATTATTTCATGATTAAATTATAAACACTTGCCAGCACTTTTTGCCAAATAATCTTACAAATCAAACGAAGTGTAAAACTTGTTTCTCCTTACAAGAAATGCGATTAATCATTTTTTGACAATGTATGCCATGTCTTCAATTTTACTATAAAACACTCTTGACTGTCATTTTACTATAAAATGTATTGTTGGTTATTTTATCACAACCTGTATTGTTAGTAATACTACTATAACATTTAGTGTTTGTCATTTTGCTTCCAAAAATGTGTTGCTTGTGATGTTGTGTTAAAAAGAATTATGGATAATATTGCTACAAAAATGTATTGCTAGTAATTTATGAACTTATTTGTACTTATTTGAACTTTTATACTTTCATTGTTTGCCATTAGCTGGGACTGGAACAGGTGCTGCCACCCTGGATCAGGGGTATACTGTAAAAAATAGAATTCATAGTCAGCTTGATGTATGAAGGGAGAATTAAAATCACGACCGTAATGCTTTCTTTCTACACTAAGTAACAAGTGACTCTTAACGGTTAACCTGGAAATATTTAGGATTATCAGAATTTCTATACGGATACTTGGCGTTATAGAGCTGTTACAGAATTACCATTTCGAAGACAAAATTGAGCACAGAATGATTTTCAATATTTTTAATTTCATGCAAATTAACCTCCTTTGCGAG